ATGTCTCAGTCTGAGTAGCAGCGAGGCACGGCCACCTCTGTCTTGCAGTCATGCCTGTGGGTTCCCTGGATGCGTTAGCTGGAAGCTCCTGTGGTGACCTCGGCCACCCATGGCTGGACCGTATTCCTTCCCACCAGCGTCTCCAGGGTGTTCAGAGCCTCCCCGCGGGTCTCGTGAAGGCTCCCTTTGCTCTCAGTGTTGTTACACCCTCTGCCCTCCTCTTCTGCGTGGCCGGGTACCAGGCCCATCTGGCCCCCAGCCTGTCTTCCCCACCTGCTCGACCTGCCTCACGGAGCTGATGGAAGGTTATGGGGATAACGAAAGGCTGAGGCCACCTGGGCCCTTGGGGAGCCTTGGACATTGTTGGCATGGCTGTCTCTGCCCCTCATCAGGTCTGGACCACTTGTTCTTTTGCTGTCCCACTTGGCAGCCTCATATTTCTGTGTTGTATTGTCAGTAAGTCATTTTGGGGACTCCCTGATTGACGTTGCTCATGTTTCTTTTCTCAGGTAAATTTCTATGAAAGGGAAATTGAGGTGCTAAAAAAAGACTTTGCAAAGGAGAGAAATGAAATGGAGCAGGCTTTCAAGCTTGAGGTCAGTGTGCTGGAGGATCAGAAAGCTGACCTGGAGACACTGCATGTGAAATCTCAGGAGGTCATCCGAGGCCTGCAAGACCGGCTCCAAAGCGCAGCCCGTGGCCCTGAGCTAGAGAGGAAGTTCGAACTGGAGAAGGTGGAGATGGAGCAGTGCTACACGCAGGCGCTGTCTGGCTTGGCCCAGCGGCTAGCCCAGGAAAAGGACCAGCTGGAGGAGGAGTTGCACCAGAGGCATCAGCACAAGCTACAGCAGATCAGGTCCAGTGCCACGTTCACTCAGGATTTCATGTCGAGGGTTTTTTGCCAAGAACCAAAATTTAAAATTGAATTAGGCAAACTGCTCAGAATGGCAATACCTATTAACTAGGTTGTTTTTCTTGGGGTGAGCACTGAAAAAAAAATGGTCATTGTATAAGAATTTTTACTTTAAATTTAAAATGCGTATTAATTAGAGCTTAGGCAATGAAACAGTTTATTTTGTAGAATTTTAACTCAGTGTTATTGCCTTCTAGTAGCAAAGGGCAATATGTTCTTCATCATTTAATATCTTGTTCTAATTTTCTGGGATGTAGTGTTGTAGCACATGAGGAGATGGATAAAAGATTTAAAAGCCCTAAAACAATAGGAAGGACCATTAATTTGGGTTAGTGAGGTTCTTGAACAGGCTAAAATGTATGAGCAGAGGAAAGAAAAGGTTAATTTGGAAACCTGGAATATGGTCTTTTGTGTCCTACAGTGTCACAGTTACGTGAGAAATACCCCCATGCCCATTCTTTGTTGAGTGGATCTGACTTAGTCGAGTGAGTAACTAGTTAGTGCAGGTGTAGTGCTGGTCAGTCAGCCCCTCCCTGTCCTGTGTGGAATCTTGGATCCTGCCCAGCTCAGGAGAGGATGGCCACACCCCACACGTGTTGGCCCAGGGCTTAGAGGACAGCTCACAGTTAAGGGGCCCACCGCATACCTGCACTCCTCACAGAGGGGCTCTGTATGGGCTTGGTTGGGTTATGCTGTTGTTGCTGGGTGGACATGACCCCAGTCACCACACTGATAACAGGATGTCAAGCGACCTTCCTATGGAGGCTATACCCTTCGACTGGGGTTAGGTGAGCGCTCCCTTTCCTTGTCATGAGGATTGGAGGCAGCCTGAGCATAGGGAGGTGCTGAGAAAGATAAAGTCGCCCCCCCCAGTCTATGCCTGTGCTCCTTTCCTCCCTCTACTCCAGATGACACCCTCTGGGGCTTGCAGGAACTGACTGACAGTTCCTGGAGATGATAAGTCATATTTAAGTCATGCGCTTCCCAAGAGCTGTGTGATAAGGGACTGGACCAAGTCGCCCTCCCCACCAGGCAGCCAAAGGGCAGGTGCGGGGTGGCCCCCTCCTGCCCATCCCCATAGCACATTGGGCCTTGGAGGCCTCGGCCTTTGTTGGGAGGAGCCCCTGCTGCTGCTCACAGTCCCTCTGTAACCTGGAAGTAGAGCCCCATCCGACTCAGGTCAGCGCTGGGCAGGAGCAGAGAAAACACACCACCCCAGGCTTCGTGCCCTCACACAGCTCTCACCTCGGCTGCAACTCCCTTCTCTCAGAGCTGCCAAGGCTTCAGCCATTCAATTTCTAGGGTTTTCAAAGGCAGTTTGACTGAAAGAGTTTCACCCATCTGACTAAAACTCTAGGCTAGTGCTGTCCTTAAAACTTTCTGCGATGAGGGACATCCCTTGTGTCCATTATGCCAGCCTGTGGCTACTGAGCATAGACATGTGGCCTGTGCCACTAAAGACTGAATTTTAATTCTGTTTATTTTTGATCAACTTGCATTTAACAGTCACATGTGCAAGTGGCTTCTGTGTTGGCTTCTGTATATGGAACTCTAACTCACTGAGGGTTAATCCTGCAGCGGCTTCTCTAAGGAGGGTCCTAGGCTGTGGGTAGTAGCCCAGGAGCCATGGGAGTGAGAGACGATAAAGCTGGCCAAGCAGAGAATTCTGCAGTTAGAATAAGAAAAGCCCATGTGGCCTTTCTAACCGGAGGAGAGGGTCTCGGGCTTAGAGCTGCAGCCTGCGGTGCCTGTGACTCGTTCTGTTTCTGTAGGAAAGAGGCAGAAGTTGAACTGAACCAAAAACTCTCATGGATGGAAGCCCAGCAGGCTGCCCACTGTGAGAACTCACTGCTGCAACATCAGCAGGAGAAGGACGAGATGCCGCAGAAACATCTGCTGCAAGTGAGAGAGATGACAGAGCAGCCTGACCTGAAGAAGGAGCAAAGAGGAGAGAGGGAAAAGGAGATCCTCACACACTGTAAACAGCAGCAGCTCAGGCTGCAGGAGGTTATGAGTGAAGAGCAGACGCAGCTTTGCAAGTCCTTTGCCCTTGAGAAGAAGTTAGGATTCACCTATAGGAAGGAGGTGGGAAGCCTTGCCCAGTAAGCAGAGACGTTGCAGACCCTCTTCAAGGATAGGTCAGCAGTGGCAGATGGTGAGCAGGATGGTGCAGGTGGCCCCCCGTCCCTCAGTACAAGCAGGAGGGAGCAGCCTTATCATGTAGACAACTGGCAGAGCCCAGCCCCTGCTGTGGCACCCAGGGTGCCCTCAGAGAGCCTTGGCTTCAGCCTTGGCAGAGCAGTCAGAATGTGCTCCACCCCAAGAAAGTGGCTTCTGCTCCTGCAGCGAGGTCGCCCCAGGTGCACCCACGCGGGATAGACGGGGAGGCAGCTCCAGAGAACTACTGCCTCTGCCAGTGGCCCAGCTGTCCTGAGCCAGCCTGAAGCCTGGGAGCTGCTCTTAGAAACTGAGAGATGCCTTGAGCACACAGCCCCAGAGGGCAAGCTGGAGAGAGACTGAGGGGCAGCAGGATGTTCTTGCAGAGCAAGCCAGGAACCCGAGTGGGGAGCCAGCCCCTGCTGCCAGCCTGGGACAGGCTTTGGAAGAGCAGGCCCCATGTAGCAACAGTATCCTGGTGTGGGGGCGGCTGAAGTACATAGGGGACGAGGCCAAGAGGGTCCCCTCCAGCTCCCATTCAGCTTGCTGGCCCCTGGGCATCTAGGCAGGAATAGCTTGAGGCCCCGAGGGAGGCAGAGGCTGAAACTGCCCCGGAGAAAGAGAAGAATGACATGAAAACCAAACTTCTGTGGCTGGATGATGTCATTTGGGCTTTTGAGAAACAGATTCAAGAGAGAACAGGTTTTGTGTCTCCCCATTCTCAGAATGCCAAGCTAGCTACACCCTCTCTCACTACTGACTCCACACATGCACCTTTCCGGCCAACCAGCTTGCAGCTGCTGATGGGGTTGGTTTATAACACTTGTGCCTGTGCAGGGGTCATAACTGGACCCCTACCTCAGGCATCCCACAGGTCACCAGGTGCCCAGCGAGTGGGCAGAGGGGGCAGAGGCAGGCCTTTCTGGGCAGCTTGGCTGGCTGTTATATCCCCTGCCCTTGTCCTTCGGAAGTTCTTGCTGGTCTCACAAGAACAAAGACATACTGTGCTTAGAATCCCACTTTAGTCTTTGGTCATCTGAGCTCCCCTCCTGCTGACTTTGAGCAGGACCCACTATTGTGCCCCACCAATGCACATGCCAGGCCCTGTCCTTGACCCTCCAAGTCCATGTGCTGTTGGAGCAGCAACAGAGGAGGCCGTACATCCAAGTTAAAGGGCCCCTCTGCTGCTGTGTTAGGGGCTATCCAGCACTGCCTGGGGGGCTCAGGGATGGGCTTGAGTGCCCCAGTGAGCTCTAGGTGCTACTGCAGCTGATGCCTTCAGGGGCAGCCTTGAGGTAGTGAGGTGGCCTGGAGATGTTGGTCTATTGGCAAGGTGCAGAGCATGCCCAAGTTTGCAGCTAGGCCCTCCTCCTCCCCAGGCTCCCATGGGGGACTCAGGCTGGCACATGCTATACCTCAGAAGCCCAGAATTCTAGAAGGGCTTTTCCAGATACTGCAGAGCATGGCTTTAGGTGCTCTTCTCCTGATTACTCAGGAGACAGGGGCTACCCTGGGAGATGTTTTGGGCACTTGCATGCCAGTAACATGGTCAGTGCTCTGAATGCAGTGTCATTTGGTCTCATTAACCTCCACAGTACCCCTGTGAAGTACCTGCTTCATGTGCAGATGGAAGTTCCATGAGGTATTATGTCACTTGTCCAAGCAGGTGACATTGGTTCACAGCAGACATGGGTCTGTCCTAGAGTGTGATCATAGGCTTGTGGTGAGACCTCCATTCCAGCTCAGGTGCCAGCTCCTGCTCCTGCAGAGGACCGTGGGCAAGTTGCTTCATTAAAAAAAAAAAGTTTTAATTATGTAGGATTTATGATAAACCAAAAAGAATAAATGTCAGTGCACCACCTAGCTTAAGAAAGAAAATATTAGCAGAGCTGGAAGCCCCTGGGCACCCATCTCCAGGCCTCCTCACTCCTCCAGAAGGTGCCTCTCCTGAAGGGGCTGTTTACTGCCATCTAGGCGTTGCTTCATGCCCCTGCATCTTCCGTGGATGTCCCTGAAAGACGTGAAAACTTGTTTGTGGTGGCCCGACTTCTAAATGTCCTCATTCATAAAGCAGAGTTGGTGCTGTGTCTGAAAAAGCGTATGGAGCCCAAGATGAACGTATGAGCATTGCTTGTTCCATAGCAAGCCCCCCGCAAACAGGCCCGTCTCAGACCCAGTGTAAGCACGTTGGGGAGCTGATCCATGCGTGACTCCACAGCCTCACCCAGGCACGGAAGCAGCCTAGCACCTAGAATCCCACTCTGTTGTCCCTCTCAGATGCTTCCCTGTGGACAGACATGCGTGTCCATACATGGGGTATTTATTCATGTTCTCCACCCCAACGCTGAGTGATGTGCCACTCACTGACCTGAGTCCTGGAAGGCTGCCCTTGCCGTCTTTCTGCTTCTCGTGACATCCTGCTCTCCCCAGGCTGTCAACTCCCCAGACTGTTGGCCCCACAACTATAGTCACAGTCCAGGTCTCAGCAGGGTCTTCCCTTATTGGCTAGTGTTTACTGGACACCTCCTATGTGCCAGCACAGCTAGGGATAGCAGCTGGGAGCAAAACAGATGTTTGGAGCTCTCATCCCTGTGACGGACACCGTGCTTCCTGCCTGTCCCAGTGTTAGGAGGAACTCTCACCTTGAAGGCCATGGTGAGGGTTTTTGCAAAGTCCAGAGAGGGACATGACCAGATTTGGGTTGTGAAAGAATCTCTGCCAGCAGTTTCGAGAACAATGGGGATGGCCTGAATACCCAGATGACCTGAGCCATTCACGGTCACTTCTGCTCTCTCTTGTTCTAAACACACACCCTTTTTATTTTTTTCTGAACGCAGACATTATGACACTTTACTAGTAAATACTTCAGCACATTATTTTGTAAGAACAAGGACATTCTTCTACATGTACACAACATCATTATCAGACATGGGAAATTTGACATGAATACAATGCTATTTTTAATTTGTACTCCATGTTTAGATTTGCCCAACTATTTCAATATGTTCTTTATTGTTCACCCATCCCAGATCCAATCAAGGATTGTGCTATCCTTTAATCTAAAAGAGTGTATCAGTCTTTTTAAAATTAATATTTGTCAGTGGACGTTGACTTTTTTATCATGGTAAAATATACATAACATAAAATTGATCATTTTTACCATTTTAAGTATGAGTCAATGGATTAAACATTCACAGTGCTGTAAAACCATCACCACTATCCACTTCCAAAAATTCCATCATCCCAAACAGAAACTCTGTACCTGTTAAATAATATTAAATATTAAAATTTTTGCTAATATATATATATTTTTTTTTTTTGAGGATTTTAGCATCAATATTGGTAAGGGATGTTGGTCTTTAGTTTTCCTGGAGTGCCTTTGTCTGGCTTTGATATCAGAATAATGTTGGCCTCAGAGAATGAATTGGGAAGTATTCCCTCCTCTGTAATATTTGGAAGAGTATTGGTGTTAATTCTTTAAATGTTTGGTAAAATTCACCCTGGACTCCATTTGCTCCTGGGCTTTTCCTTGTTTTGAGGTGTTTTATGACTGATACAATCTCTTTACTAATTACAGGTCTGTTCAGATTTTCTATTTTTTCATGAGTCAGTTTTGTGTCAGTCAGAAATTTGTGTTACTGGGTGTGAAGATTGTACCTCAGTTCTTGTCTTCTTAAGGGAAAGAATTCAGTCATGAGACTGAGTTTGTGCAAGCATAGAATAGTAAGAAGTTTATTAGCAAAGTAGATACACTCCAAAGATTATGGAGCGGGCTGTCCTAAGAGAGGGAAAAGCAGCCCCTCCTTACTTTGCGTGAGAGTTTATTTCTACGGATAGAATTGTATCCCCTCCAGTATCCCTCTCTAGTATCTCTCATTCTCCAAGCTGGCATGCCTCTTACTGCTGCCAAGGTCATCTGAGCTCATTACAGTGTCCCTGAGCTTTAGGGGCTTGTGTGAGCCCTCTAACCTGCTGAGCTAGTTGTTTTGTGCCCGCCTTTGTTTATGATATCCTGCAGAGCAGGATATCTGTGACCTAGATAGGAACAGCTGCATGGGGCTTCCTAACCAGGGCTGGTTCCCTCCTTGTCCTGCTCATTTCAGCCTTTCTATCTACCCTATCATTTGGATATTAATATTTTTGAAGAATCAAGACCAGGTGTTTTGCAGAATGGCCTTCCATTTGGATGCCTGGTTTTCCTCATGGCTACGTGCAGGTGGAACATGTTAGGTGCGGTTTGTCTGCTGATATTGCATCCTTCTCAGCTTGTCAAGTCAGGAGGCTGTAGTTCTTCCTTCTTTTTTTTTTAATTTCATGCCTTCTTTAGAGGACCATTTTCATTCTTTCTGATGTATGGTCTACAAAAGCTAGTGAGACACTTAGGAGTAAATTTCCTCAGTTTTTGTTTGTCTGAAATGTCTCAAATATTTACCGTATTTGCCGGCGTATAAGACGACTGGGCGTATAAGACGACCCCCTAACATTTCCACTCAAAATACAGAGTTTGTTATATACTCGCCGTATAAGACTACCCCCTCTTCCGCACACCTTCCACACACCAAATAAAAGGTAAAACAATATCAGATTTGATTTCAACATTTTAATTTATATTCAAATGCTTATGACATGCAGGAAAACTGTCACAAGGCTGTATGTAATCAAACATATACATAAAACAGTGCAAGTTTATTACCGGTAAACATACCGGTAATTCACTAAAGAAAACACATTCTATAGACTGGTACCGTAGATTTTGCGAGTGTGGTAAAATCGCATAACAGCAAAATCGCATAACAGCCGAGCATACACCCAGCAGCGCTGCTGATGCCTGAACGGTATGTGGAATGAAGTGGGCGGGCATCGGGAGGCCACTATGGCACGGGGCAAGCACTATGGGCAGTCTATCTGAAGTGTACCTGGCGTATAAGACTACCCCCCACTTGGAGGCATATTTTTCAGGGCCAAAAAATCGTCTTATACGCCGGCAAATACGGTATCCATTTTTGAAAGAGACTATTCCTAGGAACACAAATCTATAATAGGTTAACAGTTAAAGGGCTGTCCTCTGCCCTTCGAACATGTTCGGTACATTCAAGATTCCTTTGTTGACAGTGAGTAGTTTATGCTGTGTCTAATTTTTGTTCCTTTGTATGTATATTAGTTTCCTATTGCTGCCATAACAAGTTACCACGAAGTTAGTGGCTTAAAACAACACAATTTATAATTTTACAGTTTTAGAAATTAGAAGCCTGAAGTGGGTATGACTGGACTAAAATCAAGATGCTGGCAGGGCTGCCTTCCCTTCTGGTGGCTCTGGAGCAGAATCTCTTTTCTTGCCTTTTTTAGCTTCTACAGGCTGCTCGTATGCTTTGGTGCCTGGCCCCCTCCATCTTTAAAGCCAGCAATGACTGGTTGGGTACTCCTTACCTCACGTCACTCTGACACCGACTCTTATGCATCCCTCTTCCACACTTAAGGACTCTGTGATTACATTGGGCCCATCTGGATAATCCAGGTTACTCTTAAGATCAGCTAATTAGCAACCCTCGTTCCATTTGCTACATTCATTCCTCATTGCCATGTAATATAACATATTCACAGGTTCTGTGGACTAGGATGTGAACATCTTTTAGAGGCTATTATTCCACCTACCATAGTATATGATCTGAGTTGTGTCCTCTGGCTCCTTTTAAGATCTGTCTATATTTTATGAATTCTGTTCGGTGTTTTTAGGTGTGTATTTCTTTTTAACTTTTTATTGAAGTGTTACATACACTAGAAAAATACATGTATGAGGTCTGACAATTAAATTCGCAAGACTTTTTTTTTATATCAGAGGGATTATTCATTATGAATTTGTACCAACTGGACAAACAGTTAGCCAAGTTTACTATTTGGAAGTGCTGAAAAGACCGTGTGAAAAAGTTAGACAACCTGAACTTTTTGCCAACAATTCCTGGCTCTTGGCATCACAACCATGCATCAGCTCACACGGCACTGTCTGTGAGGGACTTTTTAGCCAGTAAACAAATAACTGTATTCGAACACCCTCCCTACTCAGCTGATCTGGCCCCCAATGACTTCTGTCTTTACCCAAAATAAAGGAAATATTGAAAGGAAGACATTTTGATGACATTCAGGACATCAAGGTTAATATGACAGCTCTGATGACCATTTCAGAAATAGAGTTCCAAAATTGCTTTGAAGGGTGGACTAGGCGCTGGCATTGGTGCATAGCTTCCCAAGGATAGTACTTCATAGGTGACCATAATGATATTCAGCAATGAGGCATGTAGCACATTTTCTAGGATGAGTTAGCGAACTTAATTGTCTGACCTTGTATCTGTACAGTTAGAAGAATTGTCAACAAATTGGATGTATCTGTGTTACCAGCACCCAGAACAAGAAATAGAAGTCATCAAATTCCCCCAGCAAGGGGTAACCACTACCCTGACTTCTAACAGCATAGATTAATTTTGCCAATTTTTGTACTTTATGTAGAAAATCACAGTGTGTACTCTTTTGTGTCTGACTTTCTGAGCTCAACATGTTTGTGAGATTCATCCATATTGTTACTTGTACCTATAGTTGATTCATTTGCACTGCTGTGGAGTATTCTGTTGTATGAATATACCACAGCATATTCATTCACTTGTTGATGGGTATTTGAGTAGTTCTAGTGTTTGACTATCACAAATAGTACTGCTGAAAAGTTCTTGTACATGTCTCTTAGAGCATTTATGTTAGGGTGTACTAAAAATGGAATTGTTGGGCTGTAGGGTTTCCTTTTACTTACTGATAAAATATTGTGCCTATTAAATGTATAAATTTATGTCTTATGAAAGATATCTCAGCCATTATTCTGAAACTATTGTCTCTCCTCTCACTATCCTCTCAAATTAGATGTGTGATGTTATATCTTTTCACTTTTCCTCCATTTCTTAACTTCTCTTTCATGTCTTCCATCCTCTTTTCTCTGTCACACTCTGGGTACTTTTTTCGTATCTCTGTGCTCCAGGTCAGTAATTCTTTCTTCAATTGTGTCTAATCTTCCATTTAACCCATTTGTTGAATGTTTATTTTGACATTGACTTTTTCCATTTCCAAAAATTCTGTGATGTTGACTTTCATTTCCATAAACTGGTCCTGTTTGAACATTTTTGATAATTTGTTTCATGTTCATTTTTTTAATTTCTATCTTTTATTTGTATAAGTATTTTGTAATATTTATCTTTAGTTTGTGTCTGATAATTCCGATATCTGAGGTTCTTATGGGATCTAATTCTGTTGTTTTTACTTCTGCCGACTCTCATAGGTGGCCTTCTTCTATGTATGTTGTGGTGATCTTTCATTGTGAGCTCATGTTTACGTGATGTTAATTTCTGGGAATCCTGGGAACTGTAATAGAGGATGCTTTCTGCAGAAAAGATATGTAGTGCTTTTGCCAAGAATTGGGGGCCTACTAGTCTGGAACCACATTAACCTCCTTCCAGGGTACTGGCTTAGTGCAGGTGTCCATGGTGCAGTTTCTCAATCTTCTGATATAGGCATTGGCCTCAGGGTAACCCCATCTTTGCTTAATGTTCACAGGTTTAGTTTCAGCTTCCAGGTTTTTGTTTAGCTTGAAGGCTTTTGGAGATTTTCATTACCTTCTGTGAGAACAACCACACATTTTATGATCAGCTTCACACAGGTTGTAGTCGTTTGGTGAGTGTGTACAGGATGAGGTAGGGCAACCATCAGGTTATCTGAGGTTGGAAGCCGGAAGCAAGCCCCTGCCCTACACACACACACACACCTGCCTTGAATCAATTTGTTTTCCATCCTGGAGCCAGAGTGACAATTTCAAAACACAGACCTCATTTGTTTTATTCCCCTGCTTAAAACCCTTTGCTGTTATTAAAATTCCAGTGACTTTTTTTGCTTTATTTTTCTCCTTAGTTCCTCAGGAGATAGAATGAAGTCATGCTTACAAAAGAGGTGCTTATACTTGATATTATAAGCATAATACATAAAATAGACATAATGAGATCATGTGGCTTTGAGTATTTTTAGATTGAAAAAATTATAAGCTAATGCCAGATGGAGAACTGTTGGGAGGAGTAAATGTCATCTAGACCAACATGTATTAAGAATAAATTCTCTGGACAGAAAGTATGGGTTTTAACTGACTCACCTGTGATATTTATTGGTATATTGCTCATTTGCCGTATATCAACGGTGTCACCTAATCAGAGACTTTAAGAGTCATCAGAAAGCAAAGGTAATGGGATGTGGAGTATAATGTGGGAATGGAGTCAATGGAATTGTAATATGTATGATATTGGGGGTGGGGGG